GAGTAGGGAGTTAGAGGGGCACCCTATCATTTTGGCCTTACTCGAGCCACCAAAATTTCTACTGTCCTTAGCTCCTTCTAGTTTGTGACGTCGCCTCGCCCATCTTCACTGAACAGTCTGACGTAACTGGAGGGTCGCCTTCTGACCCTCATTGGTCCGCGTTAGCTTGGTTTTGCGTACGCTTTTCGATGTTTGCAATTTTTCCCACTCATTTCCTACTTAAGGGCCTTTGCGGGTGCTGTGATCTCTCGCAGGTACTTACTTTTACGCATTGCTGCAATTTTCTTCTCATTCTTCCGGCTGTTTCAGCCCTTACCTCTGCAGGCGTCAATTTTGGCGTGTGCTGTCGTCGAGCGTCATTTTTTTGACGGATGCACCCAAGCGTTCGTTGAAATGCTCAACATTTTCTATGTGGAATTTGCATCTTTTGATTAATTTCTAGATTGTGATATCAACTACTGTAATAGTAGAAATGTTAGTCGTAGTCGCGGTTCTTGTTATGACCGAAATTGTCCTGGATGCGGTTGTTCGCTGGCTTTCATAATCTTAAACCATTTAGATCTGCGCAATTTGAGTGTGTATTTACTGGACGAACAGGCTTAGCTACAAGCATACAGGGCACTTGCTTTTCTTAGTCTTCCTTCCCGAACGTTTAAAGTCTGGAAATATCCTTCTTAAGTTCCCTGTTCCTATCATTTTTTTCCGGTCCCCTTGAAGCAGCTATCCGAGTTACGGAACATGCAGCATTTGTAGGATGCGCGAGATGCTTAAGATAATCAGCAGCTCTTACGATCAAGACTGGGGGGAGTCGTGTTTTATGCGATGTAAACTTGTCAATCCGCACCCGAGTCGTTAATATCCGCGATTTAATCATTTATGTGGGACGTTGTCGTGATTATAACTCGTCCATTTGACTCGCTTTCACTGCAATTATTGGTCACCCGCGCCCTCTCCACGTGGCTGAGTACCCTGCCCAGGCAAGAACTCAGCCCAGGATATGAGATCAGGAGGTCCTTGTGCTTGTTAATGGACTG